TAATTTACTTATTTGGTTGACTAATTATTGCTAATCAATATTACCTTTTTTATAATTTTTGTTCTATTTTATTCATCTGTCTTCTTACATACTTATTACTCTAATACTCATAGAGGAATTAAGGAAGAGTGTATTCTATAAATCTGACCCTTAAAATTAGAGGAAGAAATCTAGGCTAATTATTTATTTTCATCGTTATCAGTCATTTGAAAAGTTCACTTGATAATGAATAAATATATGTATGTTATAAACAAAGAAACTTGTCTATTTTTCTAATCATATTTTTACAACAGTATAACAAATAGCAAAAACTTAGATATTTTCTTGCATTGACAGCAAAACTGTAAATTGAATATTTATAGGCTTTCACTATGTTTTTATATAATATTAATAGAAAATGTCTAAAAAAATATTGAAATATTATGTTATAACCATAAATCAAACTTAAGCATCTCTTTTCTTATTAAAAGACTACAATATATACTGTTGGATATAAAAAATTTAGTAGCATTTATTCTTTATTATTATTCAATCCCAGGTCTATCAGAAAAATAATAAGAAGGGTGATCTAGAAAAGAATTGATTTAATTATTCAACCATTGCTTGCTATTTAGGATTCCTTTATAATCTTTATGCATGTATTTTATTCCCACCTAGATCATATGTAGATTATATTTATAATCTATTTTCCAAAAATTTCTTTGACCAACCAATAATACAACTATTAATATATTGCATATTCAATTTCATTCAGGCTTAACTACTCCTTTCTTTAAAGTAATTAATTCTTTTATATTGGTCATAAAAGTAGCTTTAATCCATTAAAATTTATACCGATCTATGTGGATCCGAATAAAAAGATTCAAATAGATTAAATTTTGTATTATCGATATTTAATTTATTCTCAAATGGTCGTCACACAACTCAGAATATTATAAATCAACTTAATTAAGTTTATGCTTCCTTCTATAAATTGATTCCAATTCCTAATTTAAAAATTGATAGCTCTCGAGATTAAATTAAACTAACTTAGGTTTATTTTTTGAATTATTTTCTCTTAATTATAAGAAAATTTCCCTTAGAATTAAACTTATTACTCTAAAAACCTTTCCACTTAATCGCTCCAATTAATTATTAAATTAGTAAACTTTTATTTTAAAAAGCCTTCTAAATTTTCTAATTTGATTAGCTAGGTCAAAATCTTTAAATTATCAGACTATTTTCAGTCAATGCTTTCCTCTAGTTGTTTAACTTCTTATATGCTTTAATTTAAATTAAACTATACATTCTGCTTCTGCTTATAAGATTATAAGCTTAAATTTCTTCTCTATATTTTCAGGTTTAAGCTCAATATTTTATTCCTAAAAAGTTCTATATGAGACTTATAATTCTAGTGAAATTTGATAGTATTTTTGAAATAATCAATAAAAATGCTGTTAAAAATCTTTATTTATCAAATCATTTCGTGGCTATTTAATCAATCAATTCATCATTTCTGATAGTTATTATTATCATTTATATTTATTTATTATTAAATATATTATATATTATGCTGTTTTAATCTTTCAAATCAACTTTTAATTTATTAGTAAAATATTTGATCTTTCCCATTTTGATAATCAATCAGTCTTTGATCTACAATTGAAGCCTTTTCATCTCTATCAAATATTTTCATAGCTTCTTAACGATCTTCAACGCATAATCTAAATATAGATGTGGAATTAATTTATTATTAAAATATTATGCAACAGTCGAACCAAAAGTTGGTTGATTTTCGAACTGCAATTATTTATATTTAAGAAGAAATGTTTAATTAAATCTATT